TGAAGAGACCACCCCAGCAGGAAATCACTACCATTTAACTTTTTAAAAATTGATTCATTTATTGATTTTTTTATTGCTTATCACCAAATTTAGAAGGGGCTTGTTATTAAACCAGAGCTTGATTAACAAAACCAATCAATACTTGCTGCTGATATGTCTAGGAAGTTCAACATCTGATCATTTATAATCTTTTCTTGAAATGTGTCACTACTTTACAGAAATATTAGTTCAAGTGAGTTTTCCCCTAAGTTTCTCAATATATAGAATCAGAATAACCAAACAGATACCTATTCTAATCTTCTGTTTTACACATAAGAAAGAAAACTACAGTCTGCATAATTCTTTCATTTTATATTGCTTTTTTTGTTGTTCTTAATCCACACCCAAGGATATTTTTTTTTCCATTGATGTCTTTTTTTAGAGAGAGAGTGAAAGGGAGGGAAGGAGGTGGGAGGGCAGGGAGAGAGAGAGAGAGAGAGAGAGAGAGAGAGAGAGATGTGAGAGAGAGAGATGTGAGAGTGATACATTGATTGGTGGCCTCCCATATGCACCCTGACCAGGCTGAGGATTGAACCTGAAACCCAGATACCTGCCCTTTACTGGGAATTGAACCAAAGACCCTTCTGATGCTTGGGGCGACTCTCTAACCACTGAGCACACTAGCAAGGGCTTATATTGCATTTTTAAAAAGCAAAATCAATTTATTAATCTTAGTTATTTTATTTTATTTATTTTTTAAATATATATTTTATTGACTTTTTACAGAGAGAAAGGGAGAGGGATAGTGAGTTAGAAACATCGATGAGAGACAAACATCGATCAGCTGCCTCCTGCACACCCCCTTACTGGGGATGTGCCCGCAACCAAGGTACATGCCCTTGACCGGAATCGAACCTGGGACCTTTCAGCCCATAGGCTGACGCTCTATCACTAAGCCAAACCAGTTAGGGCAATCTTACAGTTATTTTAAAGATAAAAAATCATCTAAATAATTGTTTTCATTTGTATAGGTCTTTCTACATGAATATTTAGCTTCATATATATCTGTTCAAAAAGTACCTATAATTTTGTATTTTACCTATTTATTTTAGCTCTATATTATAAATATTTTTCATACTTTCTAATAATCTTCATAATAATACGTTTAATAGGCATAAAATCTGTGGGATTGATATACTGTGACTTAACTACTGTTTTGAACAATTAGGTGGTACCAAGTTTTTCTCTATTGTACATATACATACTATAGTAATAAACAACTTTACACAGTTGCTATTTAATAAAGTAGCAAGAGAAGTTTATAAAATTGATGAACTGAATCTAAGGATAGTTTTAAGACTATTAATATTATTTTATTATCTTCCAAAAGATTCTCTTAAGTATAGGTGGTATACAGTATTATATTAGTTGTAATGCTTTCAGGTATATAATATAGTGGTTCAACATATTTATATCTTACAGTGTGATCACCCCATTAAATTTAGTAATCATATGTCACTGTGCAAACTTAACACATATGTCCCCATGATTCTTAAGGGATTTTTTATGTTATGTTTGTTGTTTTTTCTTTCCTTTTAAATTTTTTTTTGTATTTGTTTTTAAGAAACCACAGTATTCTAAAACCTCAGAAAATCAGTATCAGTACCAACTATATTACTTTAAGTTAAATAATTATTATTCCTAATTAAATTATTAATCTAGCAAGTAAAATAATATGTTTATAGTATAGTGAAAGACATAGTTTAATTATATCTACTTGAGCCTGCTAAAATTAATGTTGCAGACTGAGTTTTTACAAAAGTGGTGTGTGCTCATGCACATGGGTGCATGGATGTTTGTGGTACACTGTTCCTGAGGACCATCTATTTCCTGGACTCATTTCTGGGCCTGTAGGTTCTCACATCAGTTTTCTTTTTTTCTTAATATATTTTTATTGATGTCAGAGAGGAAGGGAAAGGGAAAGAGAGATAGAAACACCAATGATGAGAGAGAATCATTGATCGGCTGCCTCCTACACGCCGCCTACTGGGGATCGAGCCTGCAACCAGGGCATGTGCCCTTGACCGGAATCGCGCCCGGGACCCTTCAGTCCACAGGCCGATGCTCTATCCTCTGAGCCAAACCTGCTAGGGCCAGTTTTCTTTTTCTTTTTTTCTAATATATTTTTATTGATTTCAGAGAGGGATGGGGAGAAGGAGATAGAAACATCAGTGATAAAGAATCATTCATTGGCTGCCTCCTGCACGCCCCTTACTGGGGATTAAGCCCCGAAACCCAGGCATGTGCCCTGACCAGGAATCAGACTGTGGCCCCCTGGTTCATAGGTCAACACTGAACCACTGAGCCATGTGGGCCAGGCATCACTTCAGTTTTCTTTATTTCCTTCCTACATCTCTATCTTTACCACTTCCTGGTTGGGCTCTAGGTTTTTACTCTAGATATCAGTATTTTCCTCCTGCCTTTTGTTTCTTAAAGTGTTCATTGATATCTTCTACTTACTGTCCTGAGATATAAATGCTTCCCTTTTTCCAAGTTTAAAGTTGTTTATTAGTAAAAAAAATAAAAAAATAAAAAATAAGTAGCTCTGTCATTGGTGAAGGTCATATCAGGATGTGATTAAATTTAAGCTGGATTTCTATTACTGTTCTGATTACTCGCCTCAAGTGGCTCTGGGCGGGGGAAAAAATAAAGTATTTGTTGCCAGTGTGAGCTCTTGAGAACTCCTGGCACCTTTCCCCATGAAGTAAGAACTTGGCAGTTCTTTTAAGGTCTCTATCCTTACCCGATGGTTGTTTCTTACTGAAGTAGCTCAATTACTCCTGTGAAAGGAAAGGACTCCCTGACAGTGACGTTGCCCTGGTTTCTAGCGTTTGAGGGACCCTGTCCTTGCTGGAGAAGGAGCATGGTTGTCCCTCTTCAGGGACGTTAGAGGGGCTTGCTGCTTCTTTCCTCTTTCTGACCTTGGAAATGCTTGGCTCTAACAAGAATAAAAGAATTTTGTAATTATTTATTACAAACAGGTTTTTTTATATCTAATTATCATGTAATTGTTTTATATCATTTAATTTCTGATTATCTTCTTAAAGTTGTATTTGATAAAAACACCAAATGCAGGTTAATTTCAGTCATATAGTTTGTTTTAGTTGTGGCTATTTTTTAGGATAGGATTTTTTTTTGTAAAATTGGTTAATACTTTATATTAGATTTTGCTTCTAATCTAAATATTTAAAATTCTGTTGTTAGGCTTTTGTTTCAGGAAGCTATTTTTGTTCCTTAAAGAAAAGTTAGCTCAGATATGTAGAGACAGCAGTGAGAAGAGACTAAAGCCAGTCTGACATGTAGAACAGAAATGACATGAACAAGGAAGCTAAGAGGTCTCCCTCTTCAGCGAGGCCTGGCAGGAGAACTTGACAGGCAACCAAACCTACATCTACTCTGACAGAGTGTGCTCCCTTTCTTGTTGGCATAAAGGGAGGGAGAGAATATCTTTCAAGAATCTGCTAAAAAAAAAATCTTGCTTTTTGATATGTTTTACCTGAAAGGGATTTTCAGAAGCTCCATGCATCCAATTTTACAGGTCATTTGTGAGTTCTGGTGTAAGCTCTGCACCACATCATTGAATAATGGTGTGGTGAATAATTACAGCTTATAATTAGTATCTGTCATGATTTACAGCCTAGGAGGGGGTGCAAGGAATTGCCTTGTTAATCCATCCAGACAGTGGGTGAAATTTTTATACCTTTGTGGAAACTTCACAGAACAATTGACTATATATCTGTGTGTGGATTTCATAGAGCATCTTTCTTTATATTTGGTTTTTCTCTGGGAACATCTGTCACAGGTCATTTTTTATTTTATTTATGATTATGCATAAGCTAATTTTTGGCTTTGGTTCTTACTTGAGAAAACCCAGGAAGATTTGCTTTGCTATTGTACTCAACCTCTTAATAGAATTTGATAGTTTTAGAAAACTAAGAACCCTTAGGAAGCAGGGAGACCAACCAGGCTGATCGGAAAAAAATGGACATCAGAAACTCTGGGACCTTAAACTGCAGTCTTCTCATACAAAATGAACTGTTCATGTAATTAATACTTAGTCAGCATCCTTAGGATATGTTGTTCTTTTCCCAGGTTACTGAGAAATACATTTTCAGATATTCTCGTTTAAAACACCTTGAAACTAGAGACTCTTGGAGCTGGAATGGTTCTTAGGATTATTTTGTAACCAGGTGTAGGAATCCCTTTTATAATATAGTTGCTTTCTCATTGTTAAGCATTTTAGTGGCAGGAGGCACATTAAAAAGCTATTCACAGTTATTAATCTAGTTCCAATAATTCAGAGAGAGTGCTAAGAAAACATAATAGTAATTGCTCTTTACCTTAATGGAAAAAAATGGTGATCAAAAGCCTTCAAATAAAGCAGTGTTTCACGTGCCTTTCCTATCTTTAGTTAGTTCCTGGTAGTGTGTCATTGTGATGCTATCAGCTCTTGAAATGTCTCTGATATTTTCATTTCTATGTCTTTGAATTGAAAAAAGAAACAGGCCCATGTTGGGTTAAGGCAGGGGTGGGGAACCTTTTCATCTACCGAGGGCCGTTTGGATATTTATAGCATCATTCTCAGGCCATACAAAATTATCACCTTAAAAATTAGCCTGCTCTGTTTGGTCACACATTTAATTAACTCACCCCTCATGCCTTGGAGGGCCGAGCACATGGTGCCGCAGGGCTGGTAAGGCCCGCAGGTTGGACGTTCCTCACCCCTGGCTTTAGGGCTTTGATTTGCCCAGCATCAAAGCAAATAAGTATTAGAATTAATCATTTCTTACTCTCTTTCTTGTATAATCCCACAACTTTTTGTTTTTCCCTTTATTTTGTCCCCTAAGGAAAAATAGAGAGATAACGTAAGCTTGCTAATGGATACTGCTCCAGTCCATCTAGTTAGAAAGGCTGCTGGTGTCCAGTCACTCATGTGCTTTGATACTTGTTTAATCCTGCAGGCTTACTGTGGATTTCTCCGTCCTGGGATTTCTTCAGAGAATCTTTCTGCAGTGGCCACGGGAAACTGGGGCTGCGGTGCCTTTGGGGGCGATGCGAGATTAAAAGGTGAGTGGACACGTTGTTATAAGAAGGATAATAGCATTCTGACTAGGGAGAAAAGTTAGTCCTTCAAACTGATTTTCTATCATAATAAAAGACCACAAAGATCTAAGAGAGGAGAAAAAGAATACTTGACACTATCCTCTTTTTTCTTATTGTGTTTAAAGGAATCTTATTTTTATTTACTGTTTCCCTTCAGAGGTTACTTATTTCTCTGATCTACCATGTTCTTTCACGGAAGTGATTTTTATGTGTGTTCAGAGCTGTTTTGTTGACTCAGTCATTCATTTACCAAACTTATGGGGCATTTGCTGTGCTCTTGGCCCAGCAAGATTGGGCATCACCCAGACAGACAGGAAGGTAGATACTGAGGTTTCTGGCCTCAAAACCATGCTCAAGACCAGGCACTGGCTGGCTCTGAGAATATAAAAGTGGGTAATATGTGGTTCCTGCTTTGGAATTCACAGTTTAGCATATGAGAGAGGCATAGGCAAATGCAGCACACAGTGATAAGTGCTTTACTAGGGGTGCACAGTGTATGGGAGTAATGCTTGGGAGAGCTGCATGAATGGCATATATAAGGAGGCATTTGGGTACCCAAGAAAGATAAACAATTCCTGAATTTTATTGTTTGTGTATAAAAATCACAAAACCTGATCAACAAAGCTTTTGGCCATTTACCAGATTATGACATGTCCTCTACTCTCAAAAGTATCAGTTATAGAAAATAGTATTATATCATTACTTAGGATGGTTACTGGTCTTGTCAACTCAACTGGTCTGACACCAAAACCAACGGGGTGTGCTGCAATGCAATCCTGACAGTGAATACCTGGAGTTAGTGGAGACCTCACAGGATAAGGGCGAAGTCCTCCACAAGACCACCCCTACTTCAGACTCTAGCCAAATGTCTGAGGTGGGGGTGGGTGTCCTCCAGGCCACACACAATTCTGACCAATTGGCTACAAGTTGAGAGGTGTCCACGATTCCCCTCGTCTAACAGTTCACTAGAGTGACTCACAGAGCCAAGAGGGCACTATTACAACTTTATTAGAAAGGGTACATAATGGTGAGATCTGGGAGAGAACACAAAGCTTCCATGCCCGCTCCCTGTGGTGTCGGGGCACTCTCCCAGCACATCAAGGTGTTTGCCAACCAGCAAGCTCCACGGACCTTTGGTGTCCAAAGTTTTTATTGAGGCTTCCTCCATGGGCATCATTGATTGGGACATTGGCCACATCATTTTCAACCCTCTGTTTGCTCCCTGAAGTTCAAAGGCTGAAAGTCCCAATGCTGAAGCTATCTCGGGGTCCAATAGGAATCACCTCATAACAAAGATACTGTCACTCAGGAAATGCCCAGGGCTTCTGAAGCTTCTGCTACGAACCCAGGACCAAGGCCAGGCAGAGTCTTTGTTCTACTACATTTATCAAGTTAACAAGAAAACAAAGCAAACACTAAATGGCCAGCTGGCCTTGATGGCCAAAGGAGAGATAGACAAAATCCATCTTGTTGGGAGTAAAAGAGTTGAGCTGTCATAAATGAGTCTCTTATTTTTATAAAAAATAACACATTTATGCCCTAGCTGGTTTGGCTCAGTGGATAGAGTGTCAGCCTGTTGACTGGAGGGTCCCGCGTTTGATTCCAGTCAAGGGCACATGCCACGGTTGTGGCTGGATCTGCAGTAGGGGGCATGCAGGAGGCAGCCAATCAATGATTCTCTCTTACCATTGATGTTTCTATCTCTCTCTCCCTCTCCCTTCCTCTCTGATATCAATAAAAATATACTTTTTAAAAAAACACACTTATTATTATATTTTAAATTCAGAAAATTATCCTGATGTTTGTGAAAATCACCAGGATTTACTGTTAACATTTTGGTGACCACCCTTTCAGATATTTCTATGTAATAATCTATATAACCATTTGACATTAATAAGATCACACCATATAGTCTATGCTCTAAACTGCCTCATTTTAAAAACATTACAGTCTCATGGATGGCTTTCAACACCAACAAATGTAGACCTGCTGTTGACATTTTTTGTAGCTAAATGCTTGTCTGTTGTATGTACCTATATACTTAATTTATTTAATCAATTCTCCATTGTACACAGTTGATTTATTTTCTTTATCTTATATGAAAAGCAATACTGCAGTATATAATTATAAATGCTACATATAATTGTTTTATTATGGTTAATTCCTAGAAGTAAGATTAATGACTCAAAAGATGTTTGTATTTTATATTTTTATACTTATTGCAAATTTCCTTCTGAATTACTTTGTCTTCCTTTGCACACAGGCATGCTCACAAAGATGAGATTGTCAATTGTTTTAATTTCTCTGAAATTCAACATATTTCATGTGTTTATTGGTCATTTTTATTTATTTTGTGAATTGCTTTTTCATGTCTTCTGCCCATTTAGCTTGTAAGGAGTTATTTTGATTTTTCATTTGCTCTTTCTATATTAAGAAATATTAATTATTTGACTGTCATATGTTGCAAGTATTTTTCTTAGTTTTTTTCCACTTATTTTCAGCCTGTTGGGTTGTGGTCATATGAAGTTAATTTGTACATGTTTGCAGTTTTGTGATGTATTTAGAAAAATCTTACCTATTTTTTTATTCTAAAGACTTTTGCCCACATTTTCTTCAACTCAAAAATTTCATGTTATTTTCAGTGTTTTGAAGTCTATAGAAAAAATTTTCTGGGTTTTATTTTATGAAATTCTTTATCATCCTGAATTTGAGGAAACCTGTTTTTCACTCTGGACTTATTGATCTTATGACAGACACTTTTTTTCTGTTTTTCTTTGAAGTGAAATGAATGAGTGCATTTGTATCATCAATCCAGAAGCCACGTCTGCCATAAGCTTTGGTCGTTTGTGCTGGACCATTTAGGAAGCTTTATAAATGTGTTTCTTCCATTTCTTTCTTTATGGCATAAAGCTTTTCAGACTGCAGATTGCTTCTGCTGGTGACTATCAAGTATAGTATTTAAAGATTTTCATTATGTAATTCATTTTCTCAATTATCGAGATTTAAAACTTTGGAGTGCCTTTTTAAAAAATATATTTTTATTGATTTCAGAGAGGAAGGGAGAGAGAGATAGAAACATCAATGATGAGAGAGAATCATTGATTGCCTGTCTCCTACACACCTCCTATTGGGGATGGAGCCTGCAACCCAGGCATGTGCCCTTGTCTGGAATCAAACCTAGGACCCTTCTGTCTGCAAGCCGATGCTCTATCCACTGAGCCAAACCAGCTAGGGCTGGAGCAATTTTTTTAAATCATTCCCTCCCCTTTATTTGCTTGAATAATCATTAAAGAAAATTAGAAGTAATCATAGTGTCCTTCAGTGAGGGATTATTTACTAAAACTAATTTTGAAAAGAAATAAATTATGGTACATCTATGCAATGAAATATATGCAGCCATTAATTATCTATTGCTGAAATATAACTGATGACATGGAAGGATTCTTTTGGAATCTGCCAAATTGGGAGGAAATGCACTGTATATGTAATATAAATCACTTTTTAAATTAAACTATGAGCATCAAGTATGATACACAAATTTGAGATTCTCTATGTTTATCTGTATGTGAAGATTAACTTAATTAGCCCTAACCAGTTTGGCTCAGTGGATAGAGCGTTGGCCTGCTGACTGAAAGGGCCCAGCTTCGATTCCAGTCAAGGGCAAGTACCTTGGTTGCGGGCACATCCTCAGTGGGAGGTGTGCAGGCGGCAGCTGATCGATGTTTCTCTCTCATCGATGTTTCTAACTCTCTATCCCTCTCCCTTCCTTTCAGTAAAAAAATCAATAAAATTAAAAAAAGAAGATTAACTTAATTGTCTCTAGCTGTGTGATATAGATGTTATTTTTCTTTTCAATCTGTATTTTTCTGTTGTGAGCATATAGGGTGGGCCAAAAGTAGGTTTATAATTATGGGTATGCAAAACACAGTTTATTCTTGTATTATTATTTATTAATTATTGTATTCTTTTCCATACAAACAATTGTAAACCTACTTTTGCCTCTCCTATACATTGGTTTTGTAACAAAAAAATTTCTGACAACATATGGGTCTTGAGGGCATTATGCTAAGTGAAATAAGTGAGATAGAAAAAAAACAAATGGCATATGATCTTATAGGTGGAATCTAAAAACAAAACAAAAAAACACTCATAGATTCATACATACAAAGAATAGATTGGTGGTTGCCAGAAGTGGGAGTGGGGGTTGAAACTGCTAAAGAGGGTCAAAAGGTACCAACTTCCATGCCTGGCCAGTGCGGCTCAGTGGTTGAGCATCGACCTATGAACTAGGAGGTCATGGTTCAATTCACGGTCAGGGCACATGGGTTGTGGGCTGGATCCCCAGTAGGGGGTGTTCAGGAGGCAGCTGATCAATGATTCTCTCACATCATTGATGTTTCTATCTCTCTCTCCCTCTCCCTTCCTCTCTGAAATCCATAAAAATATGTATTTTTTTAAAAGGGCACCAACTTTCAGTTATAAAATAAATAAACTATGGAGCTACAATGTACAGCATAACTATATTAATAATACTGTATTGTATATTTCAAAGTTGCTAAAAGAGTAGATTTTGAAAGTTCTCATCACAAGAAAATAAATTTTTGTAACTATGTATGGAGGTGAATGTTAACTATACTTACAGTGGTGATCATTTATTTCTCAATATATACAAATATCGAAACATTATGTTGTATACCTAAAACTAATATAATGTTATAGGTCAATCATATTACAATTTTTACAAGTCAGCCATCAGAATAGTATAAGCTCCTCTTTTATAAGCCCACCTTCTCATTGGTCACATCACAGACATGAGCAAGGGGACATGTAAATCCTAGATTAATCTCCAAGGGAGGAGAGCACCAAGAAAGATGTTTGCTAATGAACTCATGTTAGGGAGATAGAGCAGGTACATAAAGAATTAGAGGTTCTCATCCAATTCAGAGTATTGATAGATGACACAA